GAATGAAAAAGGACTCATCCCAAATTTGGTCCAAAACTCAGCTTAATCATTGTTAGGTAGAAACCAGCCAACTATATCAACTCACTCATCTCTCCAGCCCAACAAAGGTTCTTCTTTAGAGCCAGATATAATAGTCTACCCTTAGTGCTTTTATACAGTAGATTCAATAAAACCCCCATGATTAAATGAACCTGCCCTTGTGGTAATGGTTCAGTTGAATCTATTCTCTACATGCTGTAGCGCTGCTCCTTTTACAGTTGTATTTAAAGAAGATTCGTCTTTCCTCTCAAGCTACATGCACCAAATTCTTCCAAAAAACATCTTGTTAATGTTCTCTTAGCAGATAAGAAAACTGCTACCCCCCCATAACATAGTAAAATTCTGTATAGCGTTGTGAATGTGCACAAAAAAATTGACTGACTGATGTACACGACTGACATCTTCATATCTGATTGATTTATCTTACGGCCATGTGGATACTTTGTTTTTCTCCTTTTTTTCGACTGAAATTTATGTTTTCTTTTATCTTGTTATTGACCGAAATAAATATAGGTAGACCTCGACTTAACAACATTGGTTTAGTGATGGTTTGAAGTAACAATGGCATTGAAAAGAGTGACTTATGACCATTTTTTACACTTACGACCATTGCAGCATCCCCATGGTCACATGATCAACAGTTAGATGCTTAGCATCTGGCATATATTTATGATGGTTGGCGTGTTCCGGGATCATGGGATTACCTTTTGCTACCTTTTGACAAGCAGAATTAATGGGGAATCCAGATTCACTCAACAATTGTGGCAAAAAAGGTTGTAAAATGGGGCAAAACTCACTTAACAACTGTCTTGCTTTACAGTGGAAATTTTGGACTCAGTTGTGGTCATAAGTCAAGGATTTACCTGTATTGTATTACATGTAGAAGGCCATTTTTCTCCCACCTTTTTGTTTTGCTCTGTAACCAAAATATTTTTCTGAAATGTTTATAAGACAGGCTAGAGGAAGCATCTAACCAATCTTTGCAGATCTTGATGAATAAGTATCTGGTGAGTGCTCAGACCACAGGAAGTCCAAGGCAGCAGGCTTTTCTGGGGAATTGGGGGGAAAAACATTCTGGAAGAAGGCAACAACAACCCTCTTCCTAATTGTTGCCAAGAAAGCTATCTAGATATGTCATGAAATCACCAGGAGGAATCTAAGTGAGTTTACATTAGCAGTTTATAAATCTCAGTAATGAGACATCCTTTGCCCTCTGAATTACCGTCTATAAGGAATCCCACACAAAGAAAAAGGAAAGGAGGAGGAGGAGGAGGAAAAAAAAGAAAGTTCAGTCATTCTTTTTGAAAATTATCAGTCTTCTATCATAATGACCTGCTGGGAGAAACAGTTCAGATAACTTAGATGACATTGAATTATGCACAACACGTGATCGCTTAGCAGAGGAGATATCTTATTACCTATGAGAGGGTGTTGGAAAGGTGATGTGAAAGGATTGGAAGGACAGGGGGAAAATTGCCTTGATAAAATAAATAATTTTGGGAAGAAATCTTGCCCAGCTTCTGTTGCCTCTTTTAATCATGATTTGGCTCTTTCTGATAGGTCCAGGCTTGGATATGGGTATGGCAATCAAAATGTGGCAAGAAAATTCTGAATATACTAAGGTTAGATATCTAGATATAAAATATAAAAATAAAAATTTGGATGACTTTTCAGAGATTATATATAGAGATAATCTTTAGTCTATAAGATGCTCCTTTGCAAGACTACTTTTGAAAAATAGGTTGAAATTTTTGTTTTTTCTCAATAAAGGAACATATATGTATATACTTAAATAATACAGTGACAATATTATTTTTAATAAAAAATTATAAATCACAGCCAGTTACTAATACATTCGTTTTAATTTTGTTTAAACTTGCTTAAGTATAACACTTATTCTAATGTAGCTTCTTGGAAGCTGTATTGCATATGTGTGTGTGTATGTATGCATGCATGCATGTATGTAGTATAAATATATATTTACAAATCAATGAAATGCTCTGGTGCAGATTTGTATTTATTATCTTCTCCTTTCTGAAAATAAACATAAAAGTTAGCTAGTCATTAATTCTGCTAAATATGTTTTAAAATCTCTCTTGTTCATGGTCACATGCATTCCATACTTTGACCTGAATGATCATTTGGATTGGGATAAAATACAATTGGGACTTCCCCCATTAATATCACTTCTGTAGAAATACACCGTTTTTAGGATGTCTAGGAAAATCAAGAGCATCATGTATATACGGAAAGGTAACCTATCCAAGTCAGGCCTTTTCCCTTGAAATTCCAGGTTTTTATCACATATCAGCACACGTAATGCGACTTTTCTGCCAGTTCTGATTAAGAGTTTATGGATCATAATAAAAGTGTCAATGGAAGTGGCCAAATGTGGCCTGCAAAATTAATCATTACATAGCTTTTTTTGTTATTTAAGAACAGTCTGGCATAGTCTGATATTGTTCAGCAGTTGGTAGTGTTGGCCGGGAATAGTAATCATGGGAATTGTATAAGTAGAGGACACCCATTTGGGAAAAGTGGTTCTATTGCAAACCGCCTTGCTGAAGAAAACTTTGTGTCTGGAGAATCTTATTTAGACAAGCAATAAGGTAATAAAAGAACCAAGCTGTTAAAAAAGTCATGGATATTAACAACCCACTGAGCCACACTCCAGCATATTCCTAGAATGAAAAAAAAATGAATGAAAGGGAACTTAAAATTGCAAATACTCCCCCTCCCCCATGTGTAGGGGAGAACTGTTTTGTTGTAAAAACTTTGGATTTCAGCTCAACTTTCATCTTAATAAACCAGCTTTCTTACAGTTTCTTTTCACTTCAGTATTTTTAAGGAGGGCCATTGTTTGCAACACAATTGCAAAGGCCTGCAAAAGTCCCAAGAATGGTCTAACACTTTCTTAATGATAAACCTAGCAAGTTGGTGCTAAAATCGAGTTACCTACAAAGGGGAGAGAAGGCTGTAGGCAAAAATCTCTGAACAGGCTGAAAAAGCTATTTCTGAGAAAATTATATTCTGAGCGATTTGGCCTAGATCTAATTAAATCTTTGGTGGCATCGATGTGGCATCTATTCTGCTGTGAGATTCTCTGGCAGACCTTGACCTGTGTTGACCTATTCTTGAATAGGTGAACTTAATTTCTTCTGAGAGCTCGCTAGCTAGGTAGCTACTAAGTGACTTTGGAAATATCACAGCATCAGATTTTGCGTATGTGTTGGTTTCTCACATGTGTATTCTGTTTTGCTATTAGAAAGTGAAATATCTTGCTGATTTAAAAAAGGAGGTCTAAAACTACAAATCATGACAAAATGGTTATTAGGGTAGTCAGTGGCACAAAACTAACCATCTTGCTTTTTCCCTACCTGCAGTTGAACTTAGACTGAATGGCACCTGTGTCTTCCCATATCTGTTCATCTGTATTTTTTTAGAAACTTTTTTTTTACCAAAGTTGCATGAAACTGAACATAATATTCAAGGCATGGGATTTCCTTGCAAGATCCCTCCGAATCTTAAACATTATAATCCCATGAAAACTTCAAAGATTTTTAGAAGACCCAATTATGTTCTTTATTTTTTATTTTTTTTAAAAGGTCCTTAAAAATAAATAAAACTACTTAGGTTTTACTTTCCACCATTTTTGTTTCAAGCTCATTAATTTATTGGTTTACAGTATTGTAATATAAGTGTGCCATGAAATAAAGTCTTAGATAGGTCACAATATTAAAACAATTGGAAGTCAGTAATTAATTTAAAGCAGCAGTAAAAAATAATTGGAGGGTAAAAATTCAAGACAGGGGAAGTAAAATTAGCATATTGCTGAGGCTGCAGAAATTGGGATGGTCACAAGATGGCAGCAAAGAGTTTGGGTTTTCTGTGTCTTTTTAAAAGACCATTATCAGTTTTCCACTCTGTGTGTGTGTGTGGGTGTGTATGATATATATATATATATATGCATATATTTTTTAAAAAAAAAAAAAAAAAAAAAAAAAAAAAAAAAAAAGTTCGGCTTGGTTCGGGTATTTTCCCACGTCATTGTAGTTGTTCTTTTAAAGTTGTAGCAACATTTCAGCAGAATCTCATCTGCCATCATCAGGCTTCTGTATTGTGTCCGTCTGTGAGTCAGACTTTTACAGTGGTTTCAGATTTGAATTTGGGGCAGCCTATTGCTGTGCCAGAATGGTTTTTTCTTCATCCTGATTGGTTGGGAGTCTTGGTCTGTGTTTATTGGTCTCGGAGTTTGCTGTGTTCTGCTTGATTGGTGTCTCTAATATCTTCTGTCTGTTTTTTGGCTCTTTTTGTATCTTGATTGGCTGGCAGCATTGTGTTACTTTATTGGAGGCCTTTAGTGCAGCTTGGCTTCGGGTAAATGGACGGCTATCATTAGTTAGGAAGCTGGGTTTCATCTGGGTGCCTGGTTGGG